ACCATTTGAGTGTATGTGTGTGTGTGGGGGGGGGGGGGTTGTAGTGTTATAACGCTTAATAAACGTGGTGTAATCTCACATAAACGAAATTTTGTCCCCCAAAAAAGATTAATGAAGCGATCCCACGTATGCAAGTCTGTTAAATTTGATATGTAAGCTCTCATAATTCCCCAAAATAGTATAAAAGAACATTTTGTCGAAGGTAAAGTATAAATATCTTTTTACTTGCCCCTGTCGAAGTCTAATAAAAATTAACACTTTTATTATTCAGAAGATTCCATTACCTGTAGGCTTATATATTTCAATCTATGTACTAAAAGCTTCATTGATAACAGGTAAATACAAACGCAACAATATATCCCAGAAGAAATAAATATTCGAACGCTTTTCTTCATCGAGAATGCCCCTTAAATAACTTCAATAATAGACCGTCTGCGTTGAACAAAAAACGCGCCAAGCACTGTGGGCCTCACGTCAAAATTTCATTAGCCGAACCTGTCGTCTGCTCAAAATCGACGATGAATAGCAGCACAAGTCAAATGTGTCTGGCCTAATTGATGTAACGACAGAAAATCTTTACTTGTCAATTCTGTAAACACCGTCATTCATAATAGAATGCATTGAATGAAATGTGTTACGGTGATGGGTCAGGTATTGGTCTCAGTTAGATTTTAACTCCTTTTTTACCCTCTGAATGCACCAGGGTTTTGTTGTTGTTTTGTGTTTTCTCTTTTTTGTCTTCTTCTAAATAATGTACTGGTAATTATAACTACCTTTTTTGTACAGCACTTTTCAAATGTACTGATCAAACTGCATTTGTTTATTATCCGAGTTAATGGATTCAGTATTGGATTCAGTTTTGATGAATGAAATGTCATAGTTTCCTATCTTTCTTTTGCATAAGAAAACATTCGGATGTAAAATGCAAAAGAAATTCATATCAACAGTGCGAGTTAAACTACTAAATAATGAAAACAAAGAAGAGAACGTGTTGACGTTGCGTGAGGTTCATGGTATAGTTTCAAGAAAGCGATGGTGTTTCTGCAGTTTTATGTAGGATATCATGTTATTGAGAGCAGTAAAATATATATGTTGTTAATTACAAATCAAAAAGGTATTTTGTAATTCTCTTAATTAGAACCAATAGGACCAACGACGTGGTTATCCTTTGAATTATGACTGAACCTTGTCCGCCTAATTAGAAAACAACTCTTGTTTAATTAGCATTGTTTGGCAATTGATCATGATTAGTTGAGGGGTATTGATTGCCGTTGCAATTAATCTAAAGGTTGCTTTAGTCAAAACAAACCCGGTTTTAACAAAACCAGACTGTTCGTCTGCAAATGTGTCATTTTAACCATGGATCTAAGAGGGACTTTCTTAGATCCATACTTTGACCTATCTCCTAACTTGTGAGTCGCGAGCATCAGATAAAATGTTGACATAGTCTTGAAACTCTGTCAATTTATTATCATGCATTTTGGAGTAGTAGAGGTTGCTGCGTTATCAAACATCGAACTGCCAAATGACGCCATTTTCCTTTTTGATATCCGTGGTATTTACCCACTTTCTTTTCCTTTGGAGTTCTTTTTAAGCACATGTCCTTTATTTATCTTAAACAAAAGCAGTTTTGATTTTGTTTTCTTTCTCATTCACACTCATTCACACGAAATGATATTGATTATATTCTTACTATCACTTCTTTGCACAAACCTCCTCTATTCTGCTTATTATTTTATCTCTCTCTCTCTCTCTCTCTTTCTTTCTCTCCCTCCCAGCTCATTCTCCCCCCCCCCTCTCTCTCTCTCTCCCTCTCTTTCTCTCTCTCTCCATCTATTTCCTCCCTCAATCTCCCGGTCTCCCTCTCCCTCCCCCTCTCCACCCCCCCCCCCATTTCTTTCCTCCACGCCCCTCCTCCCTTTCCATTCCTTCCTCTCTCTTTCTATCTCTCTTTCTCTTTGTCTCCCCCTTTCTTTTTCTCTCTCTTTCTCTTTCTGCCTCCCTCCCTTTCTCACTATTTGTCTCACAAAACCCATCCTGTCTTTACCCCCTTCTCCTATCTTTGTCCATCAATGCTATAAATAATTCATCAATATATATATAGAAGAATCTCCAGCATCACATCAGACCACATATATGAGAACTTTTCCTTTTCGAATTTTTGTTTGGTTCAATTTTTATTATCGACACAACAACTGAAAATAACCAAGAATTGCGTATACACGTGATAGCTCTGGCAAAGACAAGTAGGCATATAGTATACAAATATACACTGCCTTGAGAGGTTCTGGTTAAAACTATGCGCAAGAGGTGACTCCAATAGTACTATTTGCTGAGGGGCGCAGCCCCAAAGCAAATGGTACTTTTAGAGTCACCGAGGCCCATAGTTTAACCAGTACCTCGAATAGAAGGTATGGTATATTTGTTTTATATCCTGCATCAAAAATTTATTATTAAAAAAAAAAAAAAAAAAAAAAAAAAAAAAAAACATTTTTGGGAAAACAAAATTTAGAACAAAAAAAAATGTCAATTTTTATCTAAAAAGATTTAAAATATTTTGTTTTCATTGAATTAAGATTTGAAGAAAAAAAATTGATTCAATTTTTAAAAAAAATTCACATTTTTTTTCCAACTCCCAAATAGTAAACCAAAATAGTACTCGCATATAGTACTTTCTAAAAATAGGTCAAATATTTCTGGTCATGTGACGAGCTCTCAACCAATCAAAAGCCAACAAATTTTTGATGCAGGATATAAATACAAACATTTTTTTTTCTCTCGAGAATAACGCCAACATCATCTTCATCATAATAGTCTTCGAATTATATACAAACTAACTTGATTATGTACATGAATTAGCTATGATAAAGTCGCCCTTCAATGTAAAAAACACATACTAAGATATACTCGTTTCAAGCAAGAAGAACCTGACGAGAATTACATTGGAAATTATATATTTTTTGCCTTGAAAGTATTAATAGTCTTTGACATAGTAACATAACAGAATAAGATATACACGTTTCACATAAGAAGAACCTAACGAGAATTACATTGGAAATCATATATTTTTTCCTTGAAAGTATTAATAATCTTGGACGTAAAATAATAATCAGTGAAAACGTATACATGTGTAGGCCTTTACAGTGATACTAATAGATGATGATGATAGATGATGATGATGATGATGATGATGATGATGATGATGATGATGATGATGATGATGATAATAATAATAACAATACTAATATTATTATTATTATCTCTCTATGTGGAAATAACCTCTTTATTATGTACGCCTTATCAAAGCCTTTGGCTTTCCTAGCTGTCTCCACATATATGAAATGTTTGATCTATTATTCTATTGTAAATGTCTTTTCTTTAACTTGTATACTATAATTTATGTTGTATTTTACCTATATATGTTTTTATGATGGATGAAATAAAGATCAATTTCAAATATTAAAAAAATCATACAGCAAAGCTTGAGTAGTGTGTCTTATACGAAGAATATATAAGCGCTATACAAATGTTGTTAATTATTATTATTATTAATATTATTTTTAAAACTTCAATGATACTTTTGCTCTAGCGATGATGACTTATCAAGACGATTCTAACAGTAATAATTATTAAAAAATGATAAATTATAATTAATTGTAAAGTTAGTTACTAAGAAACCAAGGATAAATTGAGGCAAATTGGCATGATTATATACCCACGTCTAAAATAATGAATAAAAACATATTATTTCACACAAACCTGGTTGTTTTCATGATTCATTTTACAGGAGCTTCATCTTACATGTTAAAGAAATCATCAGATTATGCAGAAGTACGAATTTTCTGCAAAATGATGCTAGGTCGTTTAACGCTATAGCGTACATTTGCAATGTATGACATGTTTCCCGCTTCTTCTTTTTTTGGAGGGGGTGGGGGGCAAATTATTGTCCCTTTAAAGAAAAGATTGCGGAATAATTCCCGTTTTAACTGTTTAATAAAGAATAGTTATTAAAGTGAATAAATTCTTGCGTAGTCGAAAGTTAATTGTTTCATGTCAATTAGTAAAGGCAAGAAATTAATAAATATATAACATGATCAAGGCAAAGATCACCGTGCGTGAAACATAAAAATAGATATTTATCACAAGATAAGACAATTCCAAGGGATTGGAAGTCATATAAAACATGACTATGTAGTAACATCGACACAAACAGACAAGATAATACAACCCTCATTTTTCAAACAGGAGGGGGGGGGCAAATTATTGTCCCTTTAAAGAAAAGATTGCGGTATAATTCCCGTTTTAACTGTTTAATAAAGAATAGTTATTAAAGTGAATTAAATTCTTGCGTAGTCGAAAGTTAATTGTTTCATGTCAATTAGTAAAGGCAAGAAATAAATAAATATATAACATGATCAAGGCAAAGATCACCGTGCGTGAAACATAAAAATAGATATTTATCACAAGATAAGACAATTCCAAGGGATTGGAAGTCATATAAAACATGACTATGTAGTAACATCGACACAAACGGACAGGATAATACAACCCTCATTTTTCAAACAGAACTATGCTGATAATGTATAACACAATCGGACATTTTTTCGTTTTAAGACAAAAAACGCCTTTAATCTCTATCTCTCTTCATATTAATATTTACAATTTATAATACATGTAGGCCTAGGCCTATATCAATATTATTTAGTGATAATTGGTTGATACTCCTTTCACAATGAAATGTTATTCTCTCGTTTGCTGATTATACGTTCAGGCAAGAAAGAAATGACTTTTTTAAGAGTAGGCATATTGTCTGTACACTTTAGTTTTGTATTATATGCACTTATTATTCGAAAAATCTGTTTAATAGGAGCATGCATGCCGGGGCCGTTCCAGTCGGCGGCAGGGGAGGGGGCAAGGGAAAATATTTAGCGGCGAAACAGCCGGCCAAAAATTCGCTCAGTGGGGGGGGGGGGGGGGAGGTTAGTGAGCACTAACTTCTTTTTCTTTTTTTGCTCCCGAAAATTTGAAAATTTAAGAGAATATTCAACGGGAATCCGAAAGGGGAGGAGGGCTTTCGCCCCCACCATTTCTGACGATATTTTCGAGGTGTTCCATTGCCTTCTGGCGTAGCGTAACTATACTCGAGCTCCTTGGGTCTTCTCCCGTCGATCCCCCCGTCTCACTCCCACTCGAACTCTCCCCGCCGCTCACACTGTCTCGGCTGTTGGATCGCTCGTGGCTCCCAGGGCGGCCAGGAGGCGATGTGAGATGAGTCGGGCTGAGCAAAGGAAACATAGCTGTTTGGCTGGCGGCTGCAGCGACAGCGACCGCTGCTGCGTGCTTGCGTTGCTGCTGCTGTTGATGATGTTGATGATGTGCGGCCAAGAAAGGGAAGGCAGCGCTAAGATGTGTCAGTCCCGCCGGAAGAGGACCCCCACCGGCCGCCATAGCCGCGGCGGCCGCGACGCTTGCTGACAGCGAAGGGTGGAGAATGCCCGGCAAAGAGAGAGCGGGTAACTGTCGGGCAGTAGACAACGGGTTGAGCCAAGGATCAAGGGGCAAGGAGCTTGCCATTGAATATGGTACACATCGGTGGATGCTGGGTAGAGAGGAGGAGGAGTCTTTCAGCTTGAGAGTGCTAGCTTCCATCTTTTCCTGGCGACGCCATTTTGCTCGTCTGTTCTGAAACCAAACCTAAAGAAGATCAAAAAAATACAAACTGATTAGAATCTAACAACACAATCATAATAGACATCATGACCTTAGCCAGATAGAGAGATGTACAATAATGTTATTTCTTAAAAATCAATCATTCATGCACAAAAGCAAAAAAGAAGAAATGCATAGAATAGGAGACGTTGCATGTCCCAAAGCATAGCTTGATGAATATAGACCTAGGCCTAAATACTGTGCTTATCTGACACAACTTCACGAGCTCTTGCTTAACAGGATAACCTTTTTGGTATGACACATATGACTTGAACTATGCTAATGTAATTCTTTTTACATTATATTCTTTCAATATTTTGTAAAATGTGATTTTAAAAATACAAAATTGTTGTCACTTTGAATTTAATTGAATTGAATTCTGTCAGTACAGAATTCTAGAAATGAACAATATGGTTTCGGAAACCATACAAAGAGAATGAAAAAATCGCTTAAAACAAGGAAAGGATTTTAATTTTCTTGTTTACTGTATCACAAAAATGATTTCACGTATCTAACTTCCAATAACTGCAAACTTTAAACAAACAACCATTAATACAAAAATAGATACAAATCTACAAAAATACATTTTTTACGTAACTATCATGGAAGTCATCATATTCAATTAATTCTTCATTTCTATCATTACTTTCGTTCAATATGGATTGATAGATTGATTTTGAAGTGGGATGGTATACTTTTTTATGATTTTACATGCTTGTAGTAAATTTCATGTTAACTTTCTAACTAATTTTCTTTCTTTTTTTTCTTTTTGGAGAACACTACAGTTGCCTATTTTAGTTGTGAAAGAGTGCGGACGAGAGCGCAGAGAGAATAACGACCGACAATAAATGCGGAAACAAATCTTAAGCAGTTGAAAGTTTTCAATGGATACACAAAATAGTTTAGGTTTTGAAAAAATTGGGTATCTGAAAAAGAAGATTATTCTTTACTACGTTACAACAAAAATATCAGACTACAGTATATTAATTTCTATTGCAATCATGAATAGAATTTTGTTAGACAAAATGAATAAAAGTGATTCACATGACATATTGTGTCACAATGAAACGATATGGATTTTAACAACATACACAAGTATACAATGAATCTTATTATGTAAAGATGAATACAAAGAAGGTTCCGACGGAAGGGGGGGGGGGTGTAGATCCAAGGGGGCACAGCGGGACGCAGGGAAGCACCATGAAAAGGGGGATCATTATGAAGCGAAGCAAGACATGATTCGATCAAGACGAAGTAATGTGTGATCAATAAGTCCATTCTTCACATCATTACTGGCTGTGACGAGCCAATCGCTTGGTCACCCAATTATCGTTGCCTTCTAATGACTTCCTTCGTACATAACTGATGGAGGTAAATACTTTATGACAATGAGAAAATAATAAGCACCCTCTCCCCCCCCCCCCACCCCCCCCCCCCTCCTCACTGGCCCACACCTACTATTCGCCTTCTTCGTGCCGCCTTCACAAATTTAACGTACATAGGTCTATTCCGTTTTAATCATATTGGGATGGTGGTAAAGATGATCATGAAAATTATATCGACGATGACGACGATGACGATGATGATGATGATGATGATGAAGCTGATGATGATAAATGTATTACTCAGATGATTATGATGACCTTGACCAACCATGTTGTCAACATCGCCATCATCGTGATCACGTTTATCACCATTATCATCATCACTACCATCATCACCACTGATGTCATCATCCTCCTCCTCATCATCATCATCATCATAACATTAGTGATAACAACATTGGCGGTTACAATTAATTAAGGCATGGCATTACTTTTGTTATTGTTGACATGATTAACTCGATCATGTTATTCAGTAATTAGTGAGATGAGACGGTTTTGTCATTGCAGTTTCTTATTCAGTTTTAATTCACTATCATTTACAAACTGAATTCACGTGTAAACGCAATGATATTACTGATTGTCATCATCAACGATTAAATGATAACGATGTTCCCGATTGCTGTATATTCAAAATGAAAACGAATGCTGATGATGGTGACAAAGACAATTACGATCACTATTAGATCGTGTTTGCATTTTCATTATCGTAACAAAATTGCAGATGGCAACGATGATAACACTTGCATTTAGTGGCATATGCTATTGATAACAGGGGCTTATACTATTGAATAACGCCGCTGATAACAACAGTGTCTCTACTAATGATATTAATTAGAAATTGAGGAACATATTAGCCCGATTGTATAGTATCCTTCGCCTTTGAATTCTGGGAACATTGGCAATTTTTTAATTTCACGCCTCGGTTTAAAGGAAGCTTTTAGGTGGTGGTGCCTGGGAATTGGTAGACCATTGCAGGTAATGATTGGCCGTTGAATGGTTGTGTATTATATCTATGGAGCTACAGACACACGTCGACAGTGATGCCATTAATTGCCTCTCGTTTCTCATTAAATTACTAAAGCAATCAAGCTTAATAAGTATCTGACTTTTTTCAGTCTCATCCCTCCCTCTTTCTTTCTCTCTCTCTCCCTCTCTCTCCGTCTCTCTCTCTCTCTCTCTCTCTCTCTCTCTCTCTCTCTCTTTCTAACTCTTTATCTCTCTTTTCTCTAACACACACACACACACCCCCACATACTCTATCTCTCTATTTCTCTGTATGTTGTGTGTATATTTATGTGTGTGTGGGGGTGTGCGTATGTGTGGGTGTGTCTGGTGTATAAGCAATCAATATTGAAAACGTTTTTATTTCATTGTATTTTTGTATTACACTATTGGAGGAATAAAACAAAATTAACAAAAAAAGGAAAAAAGTTGTCCTTTCTTTCTCTCACAAAATTGTATCTCTCTGTCTGTATATAATGTGTGTGTTTGGGCGTGTGGGTGTGTCCATCTCAGGCTCTCCCTCTCTCTCTCTCTCTCTCTCTCTCTCTCTCTCTCTCCCTCCCCACTATTTTGTGTTCTCTCTCTCTCTCTCTCTATCTCTCACCCACTCTCCCACTCCCTCTACCCTCTCTCTGAGTGTCACCGTCCTCTGTTCCACCTCCTAGTTACACATCACAGGTAAAGCGAGAAAAGTAGAGTAGATGGGATAAGCGTCACCCTGGGTTCCAGCACCACATCAAAAGATCAGGATAATCGAGGCCCCGTATGCCTCATTAATGCTTAATTGGAATTTGAACGGTTTTAATGAATACGATAAGCCTACATTGAAAATAGGAACAAAGTAGTGCACCTTTCATGCGGCACGAAAAATTCATCCAGCTAACCCACTTTGATGTTGAAGACAATCACCGCACTGTGACACTTTTTTAAAAATTTTTTTTAACATGAGTACATTGACATTGGTCGGGTAAAATCCACATATGCCTAGATTAAAATTTTGCTATTTTGGTAATGTTTTCGTTGAAAACAGACGATTTAGAGGACCATCTTGTAATGTTTCTCGTATTTTCGTTGTAGGTTTTCAAACCTCGAAGGATAATCTCGAAGGATATTCAACAACAAAACACGATAGATAAGTTTTCAAGTAACCTTGCACCGATTTTAAATGGATTCCAACTTAAGAAGGTGACAGGAAAAAATAGAATCGACTTTATTTTTTTAGCTCGATGTAAGCCTGCTCTAAATGATAAAGAGCATACTACTTCATATCTTCCTTACTTGGAAGATGATGGAGTTTGGAACATCAAGAAATCGACTAAAACACTCCCCGAATGAAACATTTCTCTCGAAAAAAAAAATCCTTTTTGGCCAAGCTAAAGCCGGGGTAATACTTGTGGAGCGCCATGAGTGTCAAGTCTTTCAGAAATGAGCAATATACAAAAAACACTGTTATTATCATAATTATTTATTATTTCGTTTTTACCATGATTGTTTCTTTCATTTCAAGTTCATAAAGTAATACCCCCAAAACAAGGAGAGATAGCTATAAGGGTTTCCAATATACTTATATGAATCGTTTTCGCATATTTCACGCTGTCATTTAATTGTGTGTCTTTTATGCGTCAAAATAATCATTATGATTACAACAGTGACCGATCTTTATACCACGGGGATTGTATTGTTCAAATAATTCTCATATTGACTTGAAACATGTTTCCACCTGAAATGATATCAAATTTGACTGATTCACAATGCTTTCAAAATTTAATAACCACAATGAATGATATCAAAATCCTTCCTATGAATGATTTACAAAATTCATGCTGGCTATTCCATTTCTTCCAATGTAATGGCAATGATTGATAGCAATATACTGACTGATTTACGATAATACTTCCCTCAAAATACGGTCAATGACTGCCCTTAAATCTTCTTTATTCCCTCGTCAGAAAATAATCCCTCTCAGTTTTGAATTGTAACCACTTCATAGTTGTGATGTCTTCATTATTTACTGCCCAATGTCAGAATAATGGATGGCACACCATTCGATGCGATGCGTCCACAACCTTCCCCCCTGACTACAGAACGACCCGTGAAAATCATCCAATAATTGATTCCTAGTTGGAGATTCGCAGGTCTTTATCAAGATGATGAACTCGCTTGTCACTCTCTCTTTGACAAGATAACGAGCGAATAACGACAACATATCACCGATATACCTACCCTGTGATCTTGTTTTAAGATAAGAGCGATCCGGGGAGGGGGGGGGGTGTAATCACGATTAATGTATTCCCAAGTAAGAGACAAGCGTCGTACGTCTTCCGAGATTTAGATGCGGAATTCTCCACATTTTGGCGGGAAGGAGGGAGATGGAAGAGCGGGAACCTCGACGAAACGGAACCGAAGGTGTTTCTTTATTTCTCCCTGAGGAAACGGGGTCATCGCGAAGAACTAGAATTTATTTCATTTTCTCTCATTCTTCCAGTTCTCTTCGCCTCCTACTCTCTATCTTTGCCTTTCTTTTGACGCCAATTAAGCTGTTTTTTGCTATCATTAGTGCCTTTATTTTGTCATCTCAGATGATGATTATTAATTACGTTGCACTGAAAAAGGCAGGCGCTTGAGCTCGGCTGCTCCCAGCGGAGCACCAGCTGTTCTTTGCGCCATATCTCTGGGGGCGAGGTCCGCATTTTATAGGGTTTCTTCATAATAACAAGAGCGAGGTGGATAAAGATGTGCTCCCGCAAACTTTAAATAACACTCTTTAATGATGTATAAGGCAGGTGGTAGTGACTTGGTCATCCTAATTGTATTTAAACAAAGCTTATCCTTGAGTACCATATTAGCAGACGACACAAGTAAATCAGAAATTTAACGAATTTTTCCAAATGAGACACAAATAATTGATGTTGATAGCATTGAATGAGTGCCTTGTAAATATCGGACATCTGAAAAACATTCATTTAATAAAATTCTGGCTTCAAAATAAAAAGACATTGTTTTTTCAATCTTTTTCTTCAATTTTTTTTCAAATGTGGAAATATGCCTTTAATCTTTTATTAAATCATTGTTGTAGCTTTGGAATTTAGTTTGAAGACAGGGATTATATCATAGTATCATAATTATGTGCAAATCTTCTTAATCGTATGTGAGACGGGAGTGGGGTCGTGTTACCCCCTCATAACATCTAAACTAACAGTTAATATTATGGCGTTTTACAACGACTATTGCATTTTGCCCCCCCCCCCCCCCCCGCCTCAACCATGAAGATCGTTTGACGACCCTGTCTTGGTGAATAACCCATTTCATCCTTTTGTATTCTACATTTCCTTTCTTCGTTGAGAGCATCTTCTTCTCCATCTTCCTTTCATCTCATCTCTTTTCTTTGCCTGTTTCCGATCTTTTCTCTCTTTTTAGCCCTAATAAAATTAATCTCCCTTTTGTCATCATCATCATCATCATCATCATCAGAGGCATAATATCTTAACAAAGAAGACAATGAACTGCACTGGTTAATTAACGACTGTTAAGCTCGAGAGAAGTCCTAATTAGTTGCATTATTGCCATTATATAACAATCTACTCTCTTCCATTCCTAATAATGATCTAATTATACGCGTTTGCTTTGAAAAAAAATCACAAATCCTTGTCCTCTCTACTTAAGCCTTTTCCATTTTTCTCTAATGTTTCATTTATTTGAAGCACGGCATAAGGAGGGAGAAATTGCGGTGACTTATGAAGATGATGACAACACAAGATAATTAGAACACAATCACGCTGATAAAGAAGTCTTGTTAAAAGAACCAGAATAGCTAAATTAATGTCATTTTTATCCTAAATAAATTACATGGCGAGTGAAAAGAGAGCTAAGTCTCGCTATACCGGAGCATAAAAAATAGAAGAAGAAATTAGTATGGTTACAGTTCCGAAATGTGTGTGTCTCGAATACAAGTTGGATAATACATGTAGATACAAATTAATGAAATAAAACGCAATTAAAATTAATATAGAAATGACTTTCGACTTGAAATGAGCCTTTGAACAAAAAGATCAAACCGCCAACTAACAACGAATAAATAATTAATATTCCTATACGTATAAAATTCCTTGAAAAAGTAGAAACTAAACAAAATATGGAAGTTGTACTGTTTGATCTCCTCCGAATATCACTCTCCGCCTATCGTATCCGCAACAGGGCATTGCCAATTGTCTCCGACAACATTTTTAATCAAAACGTTATAATACAATCATTGCTATATCACTTAAGGAAGAGAGAGAGGGGTGAGATAGATATATAAATAAATAAATAAAGAGAGAGAGAGAGAGAGGGAGAGAGAGAGAGAGAGAGAGAGAGAGAGAGAGAGAGAGATGATGAAGGAGCTATTGGAGGCCAGTCGATGTTCTCTTATACAACGTGTTATTGTTTTTTCTCCAATTATCATTCAAGGTGTTTTCGGCGAAACTTATAATGATGAGTAGGCTTAACCTGTCAAGTGATAGCAAGGATGTCTAAATCCTAATAACATAATCGAATAGCTTGAAAAACCAACAAACATTGTATTTGAAGCAAAGAGTGTGTAGCGCATTAATTCGATTTGACGGTAAACAGGAACTACTTTATGCTTGACCTCATCGCAGCTTTAAACTGTACGCATCACGTAGTTAGATCAATCATAGTGTAGTTCCTGGAACTCTGCTGTCATTTAAATTAATATGCTCCCCACCTACCTACTTAAAGGGATCTGTATTAGTTCATTCGACTGTTAGTGTAACTGCATTTTCATTGGCATCTCCATCAGTACACCCCAAAACAACAACAAACCTAATCCTCGCATAAGTCTTGGTTCTTCCTGAGAAGTTTCTTAAACCACAGGTTCGCAGAAGCCAGATAGTCGGCCTCATGGACTTTATCAAAACGGCCTATAATACCGAAACAGAATACTAACTGTAGTGTAGTTTCGGTCTCATGGCCGTTGGATCTCGGGAAATAATGTTTTTCTTTCGGTTCCATGCACCTTTAGTTGATACATGGGGTGCCCTTCGTTAACACTAATGATGAGAGGGAACAAACAATTTTCGACATTTCACGATCAAATTTGAATGCTATGGGGGCTCATGTTTGTTTATTGGTAAGACCTGACAAAATAACCATTAAACTTTAATACTATCTAGACCATTCTAGCCGGATGGTTAGATTTTACATTAACTCATAAATAAAATTGTAATACATGTAAACTTGGAGCGAAATCGATGTTGTTTGGTGTGTAATAAAAAAGCAAATCACTTCTTTTACAGTCGGTAAAAAAATTAGACTCAGAAATGATTGTTATTTGTTTTAAAAATTCATTTCGATTATGATATTCTTGATTATCATGGTGCTGGTATCAATATCTATTTGATCAAAGCGAACAAAACAAAATAATGTAAAGGACATGATTGTCACGTGACAACACTTACTTGAACTCTGACCTCTGGAAGATTGACCTTCAGTGCCAGTTCCTCTCTGCTGTAGACATCCGGGTAATGTGACTTCTCAAATGCCCTCTCAAGTTCGTGCAGTTGATACGTGGTGAAAGTCGTGCGATTCCGACGATGCTTCTTCTTCGGCTCGCCGTTTTCATCAGCCTCCATTTCGTCCATTTCATCTTCCATGATCGACAGCGATGATTGAGGTGGTGATCGAGAGCGCTTCTTGCATGGTCTCGTGGTTGGTTGTTGCGGGCTGATGGAGCTCACATCGCTGGTGTAACCCGATGTCGTACTGAAATCCATGGCTTGTTTCCTCCCGGCATGCAGATACGTTAGCGGAGACCGCGAACTACGGGATGACAGATCCTCGATTTCCAACTCATGCACACCGGCTGGAGGACCCTTTGGAACATGGGCGTGGTCGATGGCGACTTGGTCCACCGGAGGACTCATCCTGAAGGTTTTATCGTTATCTATGTCATTATCGAGATCAATGTTGTCAGGTGTGCCGCCGTTCATCAGATTTTCGTTCGCCCCTTCGGCGGGAAAAGGAATACCTTTAAAATTAGAAAAAGAAACACAAAAGAAAACTGATTACATACAAATCATTATAGGTTGAAATGGAAGTGTTTCATTCGAATTTTTGTAATTAGATTTCAATATCATACTATAGAATACCGGAAGGGTGTCTATTAAGTTAACTTCTTCATAAATGGGTTTTCGATTGAGCCTGTGAATGAACCACATTAGGGTGCCTTAATAAAGAAAATTAGATTAAATAATAATAACAGTACCTGAAGATCATTCTAAGTTATGAAGAAAATGAAAAGGTAGTATAAGAACAGGGGAACCAGAAGAAGAAGAAGAAAAAGAAGAAGAAGAAGAAGAAGAAGAAGAAGAAGAAGAAGAAGAAGAAGAAGAAGAAAGAAGAAGAAGAAGAAGAAGAAGAATGAGGAGGAGGATGAGGAAAAGGAGGAGGAGAGACCGCTAGATGACCACTTTTGCCACCCGGTGGGTTATTCGCGTTGGCAAGGTGAACATAATTTAGTTTTAAACAAAATCTTGAAACACAAGTCTTTAGAGTGTCATGTATCACCACTAATCATGCTACTGATAGCCGTTTAATATATCTATTAAATTTCACTAATTTAAAATATTTTGTATACATTTTACACACTACTTTACATGTTTGATTCCTTCTCTAATTTGTATTGCTGTTGTATTCCATCTGCTGTGAAACATGTAGAGTTCAGTCCGTGAACTGCCAGTCAAGTTTTGATAAACCTTTATTGAACTGGATTGAATTATGTGTGTCTTTAAATAAATTTGTAAATGCTTGCAGTCATGAAATACGACGGAATCCTGTTGGAAGTGCAGGGCTGCATTCAAATAGAACTAGAGAGCTCTCGCATATACGATCGTTTTCTGTCACAAGTGATTCCTAACCTCAAACAAGATAACAATTTGAACTAGAAAGCTATAGGTATACGCAATGTAAAATGAAAAAAAAAGTAATCTTATAATGATGAGCCGCGACTATTAACAGTAGGCCCTGTTCGTAAACCAAAGCAGTGTCGCAATGGACTATATTCCAATAAAACGCGCTCGGAATCTACATTACGGCAATCAGCCGATAATGGCCCTCAATGTGACAATATTTTGATATGTTTATTCAAACACCAGCTTGAATTATACCCTGCGGTCAAATTTTGATTTATAGACTCTCTACAGTAAATGCGCTTTCCCATAATTCGATAAAATTTGCCAAATCACCTCTGAGGCGATTAAACGTGCGCGGGGAAGCTTTTTTTAACTGCCATTTTGGCGGGAAGGAAAATATCGCGTCGTCTGCCAGCTATCAGTGTATGATCTTCCCGCATCCCTTTATCTCTTTCTGGTTCTCTCTCTTTTTCTCTCTGCCCCTTCCATATACCCCACTTATATTGGAGCACGGGACTCATTAATTCGTGGTAGACGGGTGAGGGCTAGCTACGCGGCTGCGACAGGGAGACCGGTTCGTGAATGACTCGCTCAATTTGGTCCATTCAACACCAAATCGGCGCTTGGAGACTCGTTATCAGGCAAGCACGGCATTGGGCTGAAAAGGGTATGGGGAGGAAATTGTATAAGAAAATAAAAAACTCTTAAGAGTAGACATCCTCCTTGAGCGATTTGGAGAAAGTGAAAAAACATAATCCACTCTATAGCAAGGTTCGTCTTAATTACCTTATGATGGCAGATATATCGTGGAGGATAATTGGTGGAAATTTCTTGATGGTGCAAAAACCATTCAACCGTGAAATCAATTTGATGGAAGGAAAGGAACAAAGTAAAGCAAAAATTCCATGACTTTATCATTATTGAAAGAGTCAGGCATTTGAAAATATGGATAGAGATCCCTTCATCATTACGGTCCTTTCCTGATCACGCACTAAATTCCAAGATGCAAAATCGTTGATGGCGGCACCCAGAAATCGCAACGTTTTCTATTTCATTAGGGCGTTATGAGGGTCCACTTGTATGGGTCATTTGCCACAAATTAAATCGTTTTCTAATTTAAAAGATTCTCTTAATTATATTCTTCCCGTCTAATTTTCCGTTCTTGTGAACATCGAGTATACCGCACATGACATTTACAGTGAGCGCCTCTGGTTCTCAAGAAGGCAAGATAACCGTATAGGAATGAAGAAAATACTTTGTGTACTTCACAGTAATGTCATTAACAATATCAGGTCAAACAAATCAGTCAAAGAGTTTACGTTTTGTTTTAGTAATGTGTTGATTAAAAATACTGTTATAAAACAAGATCACACGAAATTATTTCATTAAACGAATAAACGTTAAAAAGAGCAGAATATAGGATATTCAAATTTACTGAGCTACCCTTAATTTATCTTAAGAATAACAATAAGAAAATCGTACAGAGGAAGACTGGTGGAAGAGAACCACACGCCATTACAGGAGACAAAAAATAGGGACATTCTGGAATAGAATGAGATACAGAGAGAGAGAGAGAGAGAGAGGGGGAGACAGAGAGAGAGAGAGAGAAAGAAAAAGAAAAAAAGAGAGGCAGTGAAAGAGATAGGGATAGAGAGAGAGAGAGATAGAGAGAGAGAGAGAGATAGAGAGAGAGAGAGATAGAGAGAGAGAGAGAGAGAGGGGGGGGGAGTCCTGAGTTATAATGTGTTAAATAGAGATAAGGAAATGAAGAAAGCGATTAAGTCCTATTATTGTTTAGTGTATTATAGTTATGAGTAAGTCATTATGTAGAGATTATGAAGAAAGAAAGATATGTTTCATAAAGAGAAGAGAGAAAAAGGGACAGTGAGAGACAGATAGAAAGAGAGGGAGAGAGAGAGAGATGGGGGAAGGAGGAGAGAGAGTAGCAAAAACATCATTACGCTAATTTTCCAGATAAGCCAGATAATGATGTGTTAATCTATATAGTCCATAAATCTAATCAACCATTCATGTTTTTTTCCACTCCGCCATTCATTATCATTAGGCAAGTGCCATGATCCATCATAAAATTATCCTCTTAAAATTACAGTAACAAAAACAAAATAAAAAATGTACATCATGCCCATGAAGCGCACTACTGAAAGAGTTCAATAGCATTATATTTTCGCTCCTATTTTTTTTCTCCGATAAAAGCAGAATAACTACTTATGACATTCAAATCGTACATGAACACTTTCACTTAATTTTCGAATTGTTGTCCCGACGATAATTCGTCCGTGAGCAGAGGCGCGGGCAGTAGAGCGTGTAATAGAACGATATCTGCCTTTCCAGTGGAGTTTATGGAACGCTATGTAGATAATCCTCGGTTTATACAATCATTTGATAATATATAATACATCGCTCTCAACCGATATAGTTTTGATTTTTCTATTACAAAAATATTAATTAGACACAAGAAGGGAAATGTGCTGAGAATAACAGAGAACGATTACAGTGTACATCTCAATAGCAGATTGACAATATTATAAACATCTTTCACCGATTATTGAATAACATTGTTCATCAAAAATCCCTCTCGAATCTAATATCGATTGAAAGGGTAAAGAGGATTAAGTGATATGATAACATTGCATGTGATTCTTATTTCAATGGTTAATTAGATCGTTAAGTGGAACAATTGTGAATTATGAGGAAATCATCAAAATTATGTAACAAATTGACAAAATATTGTAGGGGACACGCATGAGACTGGCATTGCATTTTGGTTCAAATAATTTCGAATCTCGTTTGAAATATTATGAGCACACTTCAAGCACGCTCCTTTTCCGATGACATTCTATTAAACGTATAATTAAGTTAGATTTTAAGTTATTGCCTGGCTATCCAGGGATAGATCGTATCATGGTCTATATGGGGTTGCGTGCCTGGACGCTTAGCAAAAGTAAAAGCTGTCCCTTTTTGCCATTAGATTTACCAAAATAAACGCATTAAGCACTTACCGTCATACCAGTTTACCATTGTTTTGTTATACTTTACAACAGAAGTCTTAATATTTACGGAAAATTTCATGTAAAACTTTCTAAAAATTACTGTTTGAAATCAGCCTTCCAGACACACTACGTGTGGACTATAGGATGTATTTTCTCTTTTTCCCGGCATGTGTATACCCACCCCCAACATACACGTTAAAAGATCAACGACCCTCATATTGCGGTTTCTTGTTCATCCGTTTTGTTCATCTCCTTTGTGTTTAATTGTTGCCTATTACAGTGCGGTTTAGAGGAAATTATTTTCTCAATCATTACTCTTAGAGATAGCATCTATTCATTAATTACAATATCATCCTCTCTCTCTCTCTCTCTCTCTCTCTCTCTCTCTCTCTCTCTCTCTCTCTTCTATGCCCATGCTCTCCACGTTTCTTTCACAGCTTTCCAACATTATTTTGTGGCAGTGTTAAGCGCCAATTAGTGAAAGTATAAACCAGTCACCCATTTATTCACAAACCATAAGCGGCGGTTGCAAGCCCAATTTATTGCATTTTGCTTGTAAGTGACGAACACGTTTATATTCCGGCCTGTGTCCCCGCCGGCGATTTGTTTGTTGGTTTTTCATTCTTTTGTTTTCAAATGAAAGGTCAAAGGCAAAGCAAATATATGCCTATCACCCCCTAAGCGATTTGCCCAGGGTAATGACGAAAGGGAATACGTATGCTAAAAAATGATCAGGCGTGGCGAACACTTCTGCCAAAGCGAGCCATGCACGCGACAGAGATCAGAAGTAGATATAAAGCCACTGTGGTGTCTCACTTTCGGATGGGGAGGGGGGGGGGGGGGAGGGGGGGGGGGGGGGGGGTGGGGGGGGGGTGTGAGGAGTAAGCTAGTGTGACGATCTGCCCTATCCTTTCCATACCTAATCCCGCTTATACATACCCACTTATATCTGGCAGTAAAATACAATACTTGCCTTAAACAAGTTCTAGAATATGTCAATGTATATCTTTTTTGCTTTTAGAGATGGATTTGCATGATTATAAATACCAAAAGACACCAAAAATGTATTTTATACAAATCAAGGATAATCCCTCATTGCAACCCCA